TTTTCCAGGCGGCGCTGAGAAAAGATGAATCCTCTATGGAGGTCGAAGGAGCGCCTTGTCATTTCACGGCCGTTAATAAATCATGGTGCGAAGTCTCGTTTTCCCAATGCGCTGTCGAAAGGCAGAGCAAAAGGAAAACGACTTCGGAAGAGGACCCGTACGCTACGTCAAACTAAGGGCGGTATATAAAAAAAAAAGAAACATGCACCAGCGATCGAACCGAAAGATATCTATTCGCATACAGGTTTTCCATCGATATCGAAACGAAAATACGAGCGCGCTTTGTTACACGATTTACATGTTCACCGTACGCGTTCGTCAAGCGACAGAAAACGTTTTTGATTTTATCCATAACGGACGTTATGCCATCACAGAAGAAATATCGCTTTTTTTTATATATTTTTTTTATATGTGTTTCAAACAAATCCGACTTTTCTATTGATAATAAATCATTTGTGCACTCTCAAATGCAGAATTTGCGCGCGCGGCACGCATTTCGGTCTGATAAAATATATATTTTTTTAATTTAAGCGCTCATATATACATATTAAATCATCGCCCCCGTCATTTTTCATTTTCGAGATAGAATTCGAGATAAGCGCATCAATCATTCAACGATAATGATGCCCGTCTATAATAACGAGCTATTTATCAGAGATTAATGTCAAAAGCACGAATTATAATTCAGGATGTTGTAAGTCAACGTAGCCATATGTGCTAATACGGAATATTTTGAATAATATGCCGAATAACGCACGACAATAAGAATGTAGGTTAAACAAGCGCGATAAATATCGGGATGATTAGGCCGGCGAATCGAAAAAACCTTTCTCTGTTTCTTGAACAATTGTTTTATCGAATAATCTACTCGGACGCACCTACGCACCTTCTTGCCCACTTACGTATAATCCAACCTACTGCCTACAAATATTTGTCAAGTATATATTTTCATTACACGATGCGATATGATAACGCTGTCAGCCATAATATTATTATATACTTTAGCACGTTTGCAGAGTGAAATTAATTGTGTACGTTTTAAACTGTCAATTCCCATTTACATTCACGCATCTGTGACTAAAATCTAATGCACGGTAATTTACAATAATATGCGAAATCGTTATAATTTCAATGACCGCTAATCAGCGCCCGCTCGTAAATACGGTCATATTCGCTCGAGCATTATAATCCGGAATATCGTAATAAGCGCGTAGATTAGTCTAGTATTTCCGCTTTTTTTTTTCTCGCGTAAAGTTCGTTGTACCGCACTAATTATTTTGAGCTTAACACGCCGGACGCAAAGCGAAATATATATATTTGTTGAAAATTCACGGTGAATCGAATAGCGAGCAATTAATCCGGGCAGCGAGAACACTGGATGACAGCTCGGATGTCAACGAAAGTAAATGGCACGTTCCAGCCCATCGTTACGCCATTGCAGTACTGTCAATATAGAGATATATGTGAAGCAGAAAAGCGGATCAGGTGCGTAAAAATATTTTCGCGGCGTTTTAAATGGATGTTATTCCGGGACGCGCGCACTTGCTGGACAATCGGAATTGTATTTTCGCATTCTTTCGCGGTACGATCCCGCGTGAACGAAGACACGATTTTTTTTTGTTTTTTTGTTAATTGGAATTGGGCAACAAGTGGCGAGAAAAGTCAGTCACCGGATGGGATCATATTGAAACGCCAACTGACACAAGAGCCATGCTCCACACCGGGAACGGCAAAAACTGTGTGTAATCGTTCCACCATCTGCACCTACATTATACTTAGAGAAAAGCTCTTCCGATAATATGACCGACTTTTTTGTTGAATGACGTGAGATTCTTTTGATTGCTGCGACAGATTTAACGCGCATTCATCATTCCGGCCAGTGACACGCAACTCTCGCTCGACATAATGGCTCCTCGCCTGAAATATTCGAAAGCTGCTCGTCCCAAATAGATTTTCTACAGATAAAGGCGATCAAGCGGCGCACCTTTCGTATTTCATCTGAAAATAGCTTCGGTCGCGTTTGTATAAGCTATAGCCGGGGTAACGTTATCGATTACGAAAGCACAATGCAATTTAAGGTATTACTCGCGCGAAGCTGCGCTTTTATTGGCAGCCGACACGAAGCGACGTAGAAACGAATGAGTAACCCAAAAACAAAAAAAAAACCACGAAACTGTGCTAAATATTATATCGCAATAAATTTAAAGAAAAGAAAAAATAAACTCCTTACAATTTTATTATATAAAAAAAGTCATGAGAGAGTTATGAGATGTGTAATTAAAGTTAAATGTATATAGAATCCAGTGATTTTATTCGCAATATTATAGAATAGAATACTTTTAATAATTAAGCGTCTCCGCGCGACTAGATTTATTTGCGGACCACGTTGGTAATGCAATTGTGACATACATGAAGCCGTACGATCGCCATAAACCGCGAATGTAATCAGAGTTATAGATAAATCCGCTTTACCGGCGACGATAAATTTCCGAAATCCACCTACGGCCGTATTGCGCGGATTCTGTGGTAAGATATAGCGAAACGCGTAGGGGAAATTTGGCCTGGGGACGTACCCACTAATCCTTCCGTGGTAATCGACGATTTCCGCCCCTAAATTGTCCTACTGCCGTGGAACTGCATAGTTAAGGGGGGTTCCTACGAAATTAACTTTAGATCAGACCGTACGAAGCCGTCGGCGCTTTTGTTCTTCGACAGCGGTAGCAGAGAAATAATTATTTCGATTATATCAACAAATTGCTGGTTCTTTCGACGGAAGCACGTTGTTACGCCCGAGCCGAAACTACAGGTAGGTATATATATATATATATATATATATATATATTCGCGAAGCTGATATTACTCGTGGAATTTCTGCACATTGTTACGGAAATAAAAATGATAAATTCAACTGTATCTTAAATTGGATTAATTGTGCTCGATTAAAAAAGGTACTATATATTTTCCAAAACAAACACTTTTATCTAAATGTTTGTGAATATATTACATGTGCACATCAGGTTTCTATATTACACATGCTGCACTTATGGTTTTCCTTAAGACGGATCGAACACGCATGTTTATCCGTAATGAAACGCCTTGGGCCGATAGGAAATGGCGTCTCGGTAAACACTAATAAGCACTCGCTTGCACGTATGCGTGTTGCTGCCTACGCGAGACCAGTACACTCGCACACGCAACACACACAACAAAATAGTTTCCATTTTCAACCGAAATATACGGCAGGTATCCAATTTCAATTAGAAGTTTGCTTCGCCTCGGTCGAGACGCCGCGGTCTCGCCGACAAAGTATTTAATCGAAGAACGCAACTCAGGGCGAGAGGAAGGTAATATCTCCATCGGATGATTTTGTTCTCGCGACTAATACTAATTGATAAATAATAGGATTTGTGAGACGATGAGATATAACGATAGAAATTATTATTCTTTCGATCTGCAAACCTGTATTTATGTTACGGAGCAATTTAACAAAAACGGCATGTTTTTGATTATGAATGATTGAGTTTGACTTTCGTTTTAACTCGTGCAATCGTCGCAACAAATGAAGACTTTAATCAAAAATCCAACAGATTACGGGACTACAAAAAGGTAATAACGCGAAATCGTTATGAGCTAATATTACAATGCTAAAACTAACAGAACGTAATTGTCGTTAATTGTACCGACACTTTATTGCGCTTTTGAAATGTGTGTTCCACTTTCTTTTTGTCAAATTGTCATGTACACGTAAAATTTCATTTATATAATATTTGGTTCGTGTAATTCTAAAATTCAATTTACGGAAATTATATATAAATTAACGTACGAACTGTGCGCGAAAATAATTAATTTCTCTTCGTTTATTGTAAAATTGTAAATTTTGTCATATAGGTATATATTATGCAGTAATCTAAACATTTGGTTACTATTTATCCTTGTAATTTCATTCAATAGAAACAATGAAAAACCGAGCAAAATAAATGAATCGCAATACAAAGATATTCGTCTAAAGCAATCAAGTTGGATGTTGATTTTACACTATATATATACCTATATCTAGGTATATCTGGGTATTTATAAATCTTTCAAAAATCCTTTTTCTTCAACATTACAATGAAGATAAATTCAACTATTCTCTTGATTTTCTTTTAAATAAAAATCTTCTAAAAATTCAGATATCTACAAATTGCCTTTCTCTTTCTTTGTACAATCTATCTTCATTGTATTCGATTGAATTAATAGTCCATACTCTCATACAGGAATTTAATGAATACAATAATATTTCTCCCGCGATATTCCAGATTATATACATATATAAACGAAATATAAATTTCCGTACAATATATCGAATTGTTTAATAAATTTGTGATTGTGCTTATAATTAATTTATGATTTTCATACATAATAACATATATAATACAGTTTTTGTAAATTTAAAAGAGCTCATAATTTCGAAAAGTATAAAAATAAAATAATTGAACTAAATTACAGCAATTAAATTTAACAATTAAACAGATTTGTCAGTTTAAAAATTAGATTTCAGACAGTTTAACTAACCTAATTAAAATATACCTGCAAAGCGTGGAGTTTGTAGCGTAGTGGTGCTTCGATGCAGTAGTTTACCGCGTATAGAGCATTGGTGCACGATTCGCGCAATGCCGAGTTTACCTTTAACAATGTGTAAATTTCGTAGGTAGTTAATGCACGTTACATGCAACGTCACCAAGGTATATAAACACAATGGCCGTGCTTCTCGTTGTATGCTCGATATTACCGCGGTCCATTATATCGCGTCCGACTTCGCCTAGGTAACGCCGTGGAGGTTGATGAAACCGTAGAGCGACATGTTACTTTCGTACCATCAGAAGTGTTTATCTCTTCATCTGGCTTCATCCGCCTAGATCAGAGCTTGCGCACCGTGAAAGCGCTCCTAATCGCGATCGCTACGAGACAAGCGCAATCTCGATTTAATTATCTAGTGACATGAAGAAAGCGTCAAGGGTAAACGAGAGCATTTCATCATCGCGCATGCAGTTTCATTTTCGGTTTCGTGCAATTTTTCTCTTTTACTCCGCTGCAGATCGTCAAGTTCTCCCCTCGCAGGGGAGTATAACCGGAAAGCGATACAGAAAAAGTCTTCTTTCTTTTCCTCGGACCTAAAGTTTGCGCAGTTTATAAAGTTCGCTTAATTTCATTTAGCGGACGAAACTACAGGAAACTAAAGAAATCCCCTGGATAACGTAACTTTTCGTTATGTTATTTAGTTACCCTTAATTAACATTATTGCAACACGAAAAATTAAACGTACGTTTAAAATGTGGCATGTTGAAAGATGGCCCCCTTAGAAACGACATTTGCGAAAGGGTTGCAGATTGCTTGTCGACCGAAAGGAAGTTTGCGTCCGTTAGTTTGAGCCCGGCTACCGATAAATGATTTTCCGGCGGTACTGGTAACCGCAGGAAGGAAAGCCGCGTTGCGCGGAGACACGTGGCAATTTCGGAACGACAACCGCACCATTTTCGCCCCGCGACACCTGTACAAACGGAAGCAGCTTATTCTCCGCGTAGAAGTTTGCGGTTACCGCGCGCGCGAGCCGCTATTTGCTGGAGCAACACAAGTTGACGACTATTTAAAGGGACAAAGAGCGGAATCGGATGCATCGAGGAAGTGAATTTTCGTAATACCGGGCCTCTCGACGCTCGCAAAATATTAGTCGAGATTGTTTTCAAACGATTCCCGACCCTCTCACGAAGAAGACACTCGTCGCGCAAGAGTAAACACTCTAACGTCCCGCGAACAAACGTTCCGGAAACGACACAAGACAAAGGGCCGCGTTGTGCAAACATTCTTGTCCGTTTTCTTCTTCGACTCAGATGCTTTCTACTCGTACTTAAGTCAAAGAGAAGGATAGACGTTTCCCGAATGACGGTAGTGAATCGGAAAAAAGCTTCTCTCTAGTTGTATTATTAACAACACGAATAATGCCGACAAACAATAGCTTAATACGATTAAAAACACAATGTAAGAAAAATAATTGTATAAATCAGAGCTTATGTTAATCGGGAAATAAAACGAATGATTCAGAATTAAAGTAAATTTTGCTTTTATCTTTTTTATATTATGTTAATTTGCATTTAATTAAAATAATTTAAATAACTGTATTTGCACGCGTTGTATACCATTTAGAATATAAATTAATAAAATTAATAAAATATATAATCAGAAATTGCGTGTCAATCAATTTTGCACCCCCCTCCTTCTATGAAATATCAAAATGTGTATGTAATTCTTGAAATATTAATGCGAATATTCGCCAAATGAAAGGAAGTGTAGAAATTAATGTAATAATTTGCAACAATACGAAATACGAAATATTATATGAATAGACATGAAACAATATGAGACGTAAAAAGGAATTGTCACTTAACCTGCTGATTATATAGAATAAATAATTATTGTTGACAATATCAAATGCGATCAATTTAAAGTAATTTAATGTTGTCTGCAATATTATCGAAGCGATTGAGAAGTTCGCGCTTACGAGAAGATTCCCAAAATACGCTCAAGCAGAGCTCCTTCGTAGCTCGAGAAAATTATAGGCGCAATCTAAAATTCTTCGCGGCTAATTAGCCAAATTTATTAAATTCCGATTGTTATCGCACGAGAGTGGAAAATGGAGAGTGTCAGGGAGCCGGTATGTAATTTTCATGCATACGGGGAGTCGCGAGCGCCGGTTTAATGGACGGCGCAACGTACAACGGCCGTATCCGGTTTCTGCGGTACGCAAGAAGATCGAGGGATAAGGTAGCTCAATAATAAAATAATGGCACTTGCACGCGATCTGTGAGATATACTCGCTTGTTCTACGTTGCATGCACGAGCACATTGTGGTTCTGCCATTGTGGGGACCATTTCTTCGATTCAGATATATGTAGACCCTATTACCCGATAGCTAAGATCGCAGTTATTGGACTTCAAGTTAGCTCGACTCACTCGAAAGACTTGCCCGAGGCCGATACGAATCTTGATCTTAACCATTATCAGCAACTGGCAGAATATTATCAGTCGTGTGTACGTAATCACGTGTGTGGAAAATTAACCGAAATTAAAGCTATGTAACAATACAATTTTATATGCATCTCGAATTAATTATAGTCAAACTCATCGATTAGGAGAATGGCAGCTAATGTTTTATATATAATTAAATTGATCTTTATTGATTGATATTCAGATCTATGTATATTCTCATGAAAAATGCAATTATTAAACATGAATAGATGGCTATAAAACATTATAATAGATTGGCTTATTCATTATAAGAACAAAAAATAACCACCAGTGTTTTTTTAATAAATAAATTAGTTAAAATATGTACATTAACTTCAGTAAAATATCTTGTAATCGTTTTTTATTCACGTTTGTAAAATACATATCAAAAGAAACTTCTAAATCTAAATAACGCTTTTTTATTCTAGTTTATTTAATTTCGAAAACATGTACAGAAAGAGAAACCAGGCTGTCAAATTTTATTAGAAAACATTTGGAAAAATAATGTATATAAATTGACAATTTTTTTCTTACTGAAGTAGAAGTCACTCCTTTATTTCATATAATTAATATGAAATAAAAAGAGCAAATACACAAATATCTTGTTCTAATTTTTATTATACCTGATATCTAAATACCTGATATATAAATACCATAAAGAATTATGAATCAAAATTTTATATTTTAAAATTATTTTGTTAATTATAATTTTATTCTATTTGTTTTTATCTTGTTTTTTAATTAGCTAAGTAATAAATTCCAAAATTAAAATCATTATTTATGTCATTCGATATAGAAATACATGATAAAAAATGATTAATCATGCAAAATTAATCACGTTATATTATCATGTTCTCAATTTTATTTTTTAAAATCTTACTTGTGCTTAATAATTTATATAAAATATTCCATAAATTGAGAAATGTCAAATTTGAGATTAAATATTTCCAAATAATTTGTATTCTAATCTATCTCATTGTTAATCTATTCATTATAATGTATCTCTATTAATATATTAAATTTATCAATGTTTTTATAGAAGAGGATATCGGGCTATTCGGAATCCGGGGCAACTCGAAACCCTCGCTATATCTCGAATACTGCATTACCGAATGTCAAACTGGATTTTATTTATAAGTTGCGCTTTTTTAGCCTGACATTTATGGTTATATGACGCTTACACTCGGTAATGCAGTATTTGAGATATAGCGAAGGTTCCGAGTTGCCCCGTCCTCCTCTAATAATCTTAATTCGATATATACATTTAAATACATATTACATATATCTATATATTTCATATAATTTTTATGCACAAATCTATTACTTTAATAAATAAAAAGTCGTATATATCGATACAGCAGCAGAGTTAGGAGTATGCGCGTTGAAGCTACGTTAAATTATAAAATAGAAATATATGTAAAAATTATAGCAATGCTTAAAACAACTAATATCCAGAAGAACAATTGTTTCTTGTATATAAAATAATTACAAATTATTGATTCTATATAATAATAAAATAAATAAAAAATAATAATTTATTCATTTCATAATTGCTTCGTTATCATCCGTACTTTGAAGCCTCATCCTTCTCTCAAATTTATTCAATGCATTCGTAACAACGCAACACTCGGAAAATCATAGTCAATTATACTTGCGTGTATCTACTGATTACTAGAATAAGATAATCGCGTGGAACTTTGTATGACTTCCGCTGTTAATTACATACGACACGCTGTTTATTGTTGTACACTGAAACGGACATATAACAAAAAGAATTGAATACGAACACTTATATGTTCCACAGGTGTAAATCACTCAAATTAGCACACAAAATAAAATGTTGAATAAATCACGCAAAATACTTGCTTCGAACTAAATAACATGACATTAAAAAATTGTGACATTCAAAACATGTGACTGATAATAATTAATTGTAAAAAATAATCATGTTTTGACTTTGATCTTCTTGTATTTAATGCAATCTCAAATTGTTAAATAAAGTTAATTAATCATACAGGCTATTCGTTAACAGATTATCATCAATTTGAACTGTCTGAAGTACTTTTCTGAGTACCTGTCGCGTTTCGATGAAGTAAGAGCCTATTAATTAATCAAACAGACTTGCATGACTGCGTAATTATATATATAAAAAATATTAATTGAACTTCTATTATAAAGACGCACATAAAACGACTCGAATTTTTTTTCTTTATTTTCCTAATGCATATGGTTATGCAGCTATGCAAAGTCTAAACAAGTCCTAATGACAAATGGATTGTGACTTGTGTCGTTAACTGCTCGCTCGAATTGTTCTGTATGAATGATACACGGCGCGCGGCGACCTTGTATACGCAAGTATGCCGCAGTGCCGATACCAAACACCAAGGTCGGTTAATTTGTTATCGTCTCGAAATATTTCACGTCATTTATAAAATAAATTCGCGCCAAGTATGTGTATTCTTTACGTTCCAAATAAATTATTATCAAACATTTTATTACGGGTTTCTATATTTTATATTATATATAATATTTTACACAATTCGTGCGTTACACGTCGCGTTCTCAATCTGATAAAAAGCTAAGTAAATAAATTCGATTCAAATAAATGAATTGCGCGAAGTGTATTCATTTCGATAAATCATCGTCGAATTAATATGAACATACGTGTGCAAATCATTAATCGCGCAGATTAATTACTAAACCGATATTTGTTAAGAGAATTATCGCAGTTCGATTACGAACACATATACGGAGTGACTCGTGCCGTTATCTTTGCTTGCTCAAGTGTCGCCATATGAATGACAATAGGATGTTCGGCGGTCTATTATTGATATCAAGGTCGCATGCCAGCCAGCCAATCTATCTTTCAATAAAATATTTAATGTATTATGAAACAAATGAAAATATTTGATTGCCTCCATTTAAGTAACAATATATAATTGATAATATAACACACCTTATTCGAAAATGTTTCGATCTCATAATTCATATATTATATTTTATCCCGCATTATTCTCAAAATAATGGAATTTAAATCAAAAATTCAAATCGCAAATACATGTATGTACATACATAAGTAAAATCCCAAGCATTGCATAGGATATTTATCACCTGTAAATATCGTAAAACTATAATTTATTGTATAATCCTCCTTTTCCATCGTTTTTTCCTATCGCTGCTCTAAATTAGTACTGTGCGAATATCTGCTTTGACAAATAATCCTCGTTTCCACATGTTTATGAATTCTTAATCACGCGGATTAATAAACGTGTATTGCAATAATTGGAAGATATGATGGCATTTTGTATTTTCAGTGTTCGTCACAATCACAACGACGATTCGAAAGATAATACGAGGACATGTCGAGTGGTACAACGAACAGAATATGGTTATTTGAATTTAAATTAGTATAGCAGAATTTGCTACAATGGTTGATAAGTATATAAATTAAATAAATGTATAATTAACAATACATTTTAAATCAAGGCATTGAATTATTCCTTTTAATAACAGTATGAAAATGAGTAATATTAGTTGTTTCAAAAAATAATGATTAAATCTATTATTTAAAGAATACAGTTTATTCTTTAGTTAAAAAACTCATAATTTTATTAATTTATATAATTTATATAAGTTGATTTATTATTATCATACTTTAAATTTTTATTCTAGAAAGAAGAAAAATTTTGTAAATTAAATAAATGAAAAAAGTCAAATTAAATACACAAAATTTTGCAACTTACCCTTATAATCACACAATCTTTTTACTTGAAACGTAAACAGATAGGATAGTAATAGTAATTTTTTCATACTTTCTAAATTAAAACGTTATATAACATTTTATACGTTATACAACATTTTATATTATTAAACATTACATTAGAAAGTATATATCCTATATTATAAATATATGATTTATATAATATGTCTACGAGTATTTTTTTCATTTATCGCTGTTAACACAGTGACTGCATACTTTAATCGATTATGTACCTATAGTCAAAGTCAGTTTCTCGCTATACAACAGAGAACAGTCTGGGGCGG